CACATTGCCTTTTGTCTTTTTTTTTTCCTTTTTCTTTTACTTTTTTACTTTCCTAACAGGCTCCTCCAAACAGCTTCATTTAAAATGGTCTTTCTATAGTGCCCAGTGTTTTCTTTGGCAAATTTGGAGAGCTGGGTTTTGGGATAAAATTAAATTGCACCAAAAGACTAAAATGGGATTAGGAGATTTGACAGAACTTCATAAAAATAAGTTGTGCACAGGCAAAGGGAGAATTTTTCAGTAGGTCTTTTTAAAAATAAAAGCTCTGGAGGAAAGAGTTCTGCTTGGTGGCAAACTCATCTAACCCTTGCAAAGCCTACCAGAGAGCCTGCAAGGGATACAGAGGATACAGAGCATGAGAACACACACACACTCTCACATCTTAAAGCTCCTTTACACATGATTAGGTATCATTTTTCATACAATGCACATATGTACTTGAGCAATGGCATAGTCCTAAAGAGGGACCGTTTTGTCAATTTGTCTTGCAAGCAGCCTGGGGAGGCAGAAAGGAGCAAATTCTCTCTTTCACATTCACAGGCCTACTTAGTCATTCCCCTCCCTGCCCCAAATTTGCTCCCTCACTTCCCCTTATCAGTTACGCTGTAAAAATACCTAGAGATAAAGTGTGATAAAGAGCGCATCCTGCTTACAAGGATGGACACAGAAGACTTTCCCTGGGCTAAAAGGTCAAGCTGCAGAGCAGTTCTTTTCCAACCCCTCTACTATCACCGATAGCTCTGGTAGTGTGGAATGGATTTCTGCCTCTTCTGTGGGAGAAGACAGCACTCTCCTTCAACACCATGCACCCTGCTAGAGCATGACTGGAGCAGCAATATGTTCAGAAGGTACACAACCCCTTGCTCACAGATAGCAACTACTTTACTTAATAGCTCCCCTATTACAGGTATCAGAGTAACCCTTCTTGCAGCGCAGACAGTGAGTGTTTGCAAGTAGTTACCAAATATCACAGTATTCTTTAGGATAAGGTGCCATTAAACTGTGTTGCATATTCAGCACCATGTAATTTCTTCCCTTCCCATTTTCAGCCATGCCTGTAAGACTGAACATCTCTAAAATATTTCCAATCTAATCTCCTTTTATTACTAAATTAACACTAGACCTAGAACTTTACACTAAGTATAGGGAAACCACACTAATGTTAATCACTTGTATGTGGTCACTAACATATTAATAGCAGCCACTCTAAAGATTTCAGTCGCACAGCGCTGCCAGGGCTAAACGCGACAGGGAAGCGCACAGAGTCATCCAGCGCAGGCCTGGGTCAAGACAGAAACATAAGCACAGGGCGAAGGAGAAAACATGAGTTTAAATAACCAAATTGAAACAATTCTCAATTATATGATTTATTTCTGGATAGAAAAAAAACACTCAAACACCATCTGCCAGAAAAATTAGGGGCTCTTCAGCATTTGTTTTCCTTTAACGTGTTTTTATGTGTTTCCCCGTCTGCTGACTCGATTCCTGCCGCACTGCAGCAGGGCAGAACTGGGGCTGCTTGGCCCAGGGATTTGTCTCAGCTGAGGAGTGGCTACAGTAACCACAGCTTTTTAGGACTCAGCTAGGAGATAAAGTTCCAAGTAGACATTCTGAAACATGCCAACTACCACAGGGTTATTAAACTAAAAACTCAGGTTTTAATGAACAAAAGAAGCCTTGGAGGTGTTTTCCTGAATACAAAATGGAAAGACACAGAGCAGTTAAGCTGCTTTCCTCAGAGCCACACTGAGAATTAAGTCTATTACAAAGTTTAAACTTTTTGATATGGTTCATTTCCACAGAAACTGATGCATTAAAAAAGAAGTACAGGCTCAGAGAAAGATTGTGTTTCTAGTTCTGGACTGTATTACCCAAAAAGAGAGAAAAAAAAAAATTGAAGAGGCATCACTTTACAATGTGCAGCTTTCCTGTCCAGCAGGAAATGCAACTGCTTCTTTATTTCACATGTCATAAATGAAACAATCTTCAGCTTGGTTCCACTAGGCACGTAGGCATCACCTGGCAAATACATGTTTCAGCAGAAACCCCAGCTAAGGGAATACACTCTCATTACAGCAAAGGAAATAAAGGTTAAACAGAAGGACAAGCTTTCCATTATTAAGGTTCCAAAAACAGTGGAAGAGGTTGTTTGCAGAAGCAATAAAATCTTCATTGTTGGTTTCAGTGTACTTGATCCTTTCTTAGGGTACAGAGAAAGACTATTGTGGTGTCTTAAAGTCCTTTCCTGTTCTGTTTTCCCAGACTAAGTCTGCAAACAAAGGATATATTCAGACTTCAAGCTCATATGATAAAATGTTCCAATCTGTAGGCTGTCAATTAATTTTGATTTCTCAGGAGGGCACGGCAAATGCATTTCAATGCTTTTATTGCTTCTGACTACTACTGTGAAATACATCACAAATAATTTCCACCAAGCTCGGAAGATTGCTACGCATATTTTGAGGTGCACAAGAGAAAGGAAGCACGTCATTGCAGCCTTCAGGTATCACTGCTGTCTACCTGCAACTTACAGGGGAAATTTCACTGCATTTCTTTTTGATTGCTCCAGCCTCACATAGTTTGCCTCTCCTCTCTAGGGAAAAGGAATTACAAGACCAAAAGATGGCTTTTTTCTTACTGTTTGAAGGGAGAAGCAGGCAGGATATTCCTAGGGTTAAACTCACCTGCTGGCTCTGCCCATAGAAATCTGTTAGCCAGCCCATAATATTTCATCATGTTTGCCTGTGAAACAACCCAAGTTTCCTTCATTCCATTTGCCAGCTAGTGCACAATCCTAGGAAAAAGAAACAGTGTGGTAAGAAGGTGCTCCTGCCCTTGGAGCAAGGTCAGACAGCCCAGCCTCACAGCTGGAGCAGGTCCATTTCCAGCATCAAGCCAGAGAGGACCCAGGAAGCAGCCCGCTCCCTGGAGAGACGCCTTCAGCTATTGAGCTCTGCATTGCTTCAGCCAGACTGCCATCAGTACCTGAACCAGCTCCCATGCCTGTGCCACGTTAACAGTCTGTCGATGCTTTTCGTGCCCTTGCTCTTTCTACTTGGATTGCTACATGTGTGGAGGGAGGCACAGGCATTCAGACCTGACACAAAAGGGTACTGTCACACCTTCTGATTTACACCACGAAACAGCAATACGCTGCTATAATAGCATTATTGCAGCCATTTCACAGATCTGAAAAGGGACCTCTGTGCCTTAACACTTGTCTCTTCCAAACAGACCTGATAATTTAGTAAACCTTCCCTCTCCTACAAGCTTTGACTCAATCCCTGTAAGTTAGAGAAAAGCCTGTATGAGCAATGCCTGCAGTCTTGAAAACCAACAATTTGTTAATTTAACCATTATTGCCAAAGCTTGAATGCTGTCAGTGCTCCAAAAGATTATGTTCAAAATATCTAAGAGACCATTATTAACACATCACTAAAAAACATAAGGTCCTGTACTGAGCAAGTTTGGCTCTGTAACTTTCAGGGCTCTTTCCTATGTTCCCTACAGCTACATTCAAATTCTGCCACCTGTGAAGATATTTTAGCTCCTAAGTCCACACAGCCCAGCTACCATCCAATTCCAGCTCAGGATGAAACCTGGATCTGTACCTTTGCCTTGTGCCAGGGAGCTCAGCCAAAGGACACCAGGGCGAACAGGCCAGACAGAAGCCAAGTACCATCTCCATTAGCTCGTGAGGGGAGCAGCCGGTGGAGCACAACCCCAGCATGTGCTGTGGGACAGACCTGCTCCACAGCTTTGAGGCACGTGGCGTAGTCTCCCTTACAGTACAGCTTAAAACACCCAAGTAAGGGAAAGGACGCTGCTCCCTGTCAAACTTAGCACTAGGAGAGGCTATCTGCTGCTGCTACCACTACTGAAAGTTATGTTTTTCTTCACCTACCAGTTCCTACTCCTCCAAAAGAAAATTGCTCAAACTCTTTCTAAATAATAACCCCACATCTTCCTATGCTTACGCAGCTCAGTTACAGGAGCACTTCACCAACAATGTTGTCAGCAGCACGCTAAAGTGCAACCTTGTAGAGATTAAGCTTCCTAACTTTCAAATTCAATAATTTTCAAGCCAACATTTTGCTGTATTTTCTTTACCAAATGAACAACAAAAACAGGCTAAGATATTAAATTAGACAGTTTCCTTTTGTCAAGAAGTTAGACATAGAACAGGTATAGATTCACTAGCTGAACGGAACTCAGCTCCTGTTATGTTTCTCAGTATTCCATATCCTTTGGTTTCCATCAATACACAAGGGCACACAGAGTGAAAGGCTCCATCTTTTCCTGGCTGTTGAATGACAGTGAAAAATACATATGCCCACTACCAACTGAAGTTACTGGTGCTTTCTTTGAGGTAGTACACCTATGAAACTAAAAAAAAAATTAAAATGCAAAGTTTTACCATGAAGTCTTCACTGTTTGTTAAGACCTGACCAAGAGGTATCTAATCTCCCAGATGCAGAGAGAATTCTCCAGTCAGCATCTCAGATGTCTCTCAATCCACATTCTGAAGTATATGTGTTTTGCTTTAATTGAATGAACACTCACAGCCACACAGGTTTTCATTTCTTTTCATTCTTCCTACAGCCATGCCCATTAGCACAAAAAACACATGGGTACTGCAAGGCCTTTCTGTAGCTTTGGCTAGAGGAACAGTGCTGTTAACCCACCTCTGAAACACTAGCAGATGGCCTAGTATGACAGGACCCCAAGCCCTCCTCTCCTGAGGGAGGTAAGTGGTGAGGAATAGCTACTTCTTCAAACCAAAAGAATCTCATCTGTCACAGCTCACAGGAGGTAACAGCATTTCTTCCTCCCATCTCCATCTCTTACAATGTTCCGACACAGTAATACATCAGGTTTGTTGCAGCAATATGTCAGCAGTATTGGTCTGTCACTGACCAACACAAAGAGCTACCACCATCAGCAGTTATGAAGCACAATCAGGAATTCAGCTCTTCTGAAGAAAAATGGTGCATATATGAGTCTCTGTGGCGCAACTGGTTAGCGCGTTCGGCTGTTAACCGAAAGGCTGGTGGTTCAAGCCCACCCAGAGGCGAGAGCTCCCTTTTAGGGGCCAACAAGAACTCTGTGAAGTCCAACAAGGGGAAGTGCCAAGTCCTTTCCCTAGAGAGGAGCCACCAGTAGATGCTGGGGGCCACCCCACTGGAAAGCAACTTGGCAGAAAAGGACCTGGGGGTCCTGGTAGGCACAAAGTGAACATAAGTCAGCAAAGGCAACCAGCAGTCTCCTGGGTTGCATTAGAAGGAGCATTATTAGCAGGTCAACTCAGGTGATGTTTGCCCTCTCCCCAGCACTGATGAGGCCACACCTGGAGTACCATGTCCAGTTCTGGGCTCCACAGTACAAGAGAGACATGGAGAGAGTCCAAGTAGGGGCCACAAAGATGCTCAAGGGTCAGGAACATCTCTGTGAGGAAAGGCTCAAACTGTTCAGCCTGGGGAAAGGAATGTTAAGGGGGGAATCTTACTAATGCATATAAATACCCGAAGTGATGGTTCACAGAGAACAGAGCCAGGCTCTTTTTGCTACTGTCCACTGGCAGGCCAAAAAGGCAATGAGCACACACTAAAACACAGGAGGTTCCATCTGAACACCAGGAAACACTTTTTTTTGCTCAAAGGGTGACTAAATACTAGAACAGGTTTCCCAAAAAGGTTGTGGAGTCTCCCTCTCTGAAGACATTCAAAAGCCATCTAGCTACAGTGCCATGAAACCAGCTCTAGGTGTCTTGGTTGGAGCAGGGAGCTTGGAGAGATGACCTTCAGAGGCCCCTTCCAACCTCAACTATTCTGCGATTCAGGATAATGTTCAGGAGAAAAATTTAAGTCAAACCACATCTAGGCAGATGTGATGTCTGACCTCTGGCACCCTGAGCACCCTGTTAATCTAGAACTTCAGCTTTGACTGCACACCATGCTCAGGCATTATCAGTTTATAAAGCTCGACTCTTGCTTCCATAGGCATTCTTCCTTCTGTTCTTCTGGATGACATCTGCCCACAGGCTTTGTACCTTTGTCATACCCATCCTGAATTAAAATAATTCATTACGTTTGAAACTGAAGTTCAGAGATGACACATAATTTCTAACCAATAAAAAATATTCTTATAATATATACATTATATTTCTATATTGCAATATATATTTAAATAAATTATATTAATTGTAACAAAATGTTTTCATTAATTATAGTAAATAGTATCTTTACTATATGGCATATTATATATTTTGTATATATAATACAGACCTTTAATGTATTATATATTATTAAAACTGCCTTCACAGTTTGGGCAGCTGCTACTGCTTTTCCCTGAACTCCAGTTTGCAGCTTTGCTCCTAATCTTAAGTAGCAATGAGAAGCTCCAGGTCTAGCTATGTTCAAGACTAAGTTTCATGTTATCATGAACATTTTGATAGCCACACTACTCAGATTCTGTCCAGCCTGGCAACCATTAAGAACTGGGAACCAAGCACTCCTGTCAAAGGGATCCAACTAGATTTATTCCCAGAACCAAGTAAATCCAGAGCTGATCATACACAGAAAACACTAGAAAAGTTTCCTTCCAATCATGATTTGATACTTTATTTTAAGGCGGCTTCTGCTTTTTGTTTTTGTTCTGGTTTGTTGTTTTCCAGGGCGTTTTTTGGGGTTGTGGTTTTTTATTGGGGGGGGAGGTGTTTGTTTACTTTTGTGTTGGGGTTTTGTTGTTTTTTTGCTTTGGGTTTTTTTCTTTTTTTTTTTTTTGAGCTGCTCAAACAGAGGACTAGAGCCCAAGAGTTCAAGAACTTCACTGGGCATTTTGCCATCATTGTATGTAAAATGTGCATAGATGCTACAGAAACTAGTAGCATGAGGGAAAAAAGAAAAATCTTCAGTAGTTAACCACCGAGACCATTTAAACTCCAACAGAAAGGATCAGATGCTACCCTGACACAAGGACAATGACAAGAGTCTTGCATTAACATCAGCCACAGAATGTAAGCACGCAGTAGTTTGGAAACACACCTTTACAGTTCATTGCCTGTATAACCCTTCATCAATTTTTGATTAAGGTGCCATAGGTACTTAATGCAAGGTATGTGGAAACCTTACAAAACTTGAAACAGTTTTAATGGAGAGCTTCTCTCTTTTTCTCCAAAAGCTAATGCTGTTGGAAAGTGACCAGGAAAAACACCTTATATTTTGCCCTTGAAGGCTCAACTACCTCTGAAAACCATGCAATGATTTGTCTGGCAAGATGAAAAAGCCTTGCTCAGACTAATGTTGCTTCTTGACACCTTCATGAAGGACAGCAAGACACTGAAAACTACTACAGGGGCTTACAACAAGATAGCACATATGGGCTGGAGGCAGCACCTTGAACATTTACATCAATCCTCTGCAGCTAAATAGCAGTAACTTGTGCCGATCACAACACAGGTTGCCCGAGCTCTGCACATGTTTGAAAAAATGCATCCAGTTCAGTCTCAAAACACAGGATTACACTAAACTACAGGGCAAGATTAGAAGGATTAGTGTAGTTCACTATACATCCTTCAGGTTACTGGCAAACAAGGGAACTAACAAAGCGAAGCATACAGAGTAGTTGCCACTGCAGTATGGGATAGCAGCAAGAACACCACTGTTTCCTGAAGCTCTGCCAAGGCTGATGAGACAGTCATTGGCATTGTTTGGGGACTTACTGAACTCAGGTCTTCATTTTGTTAAGACTTACTTTGAGCCAGCTGTTGATCTCACTGCAGTAGAACAGGAAAAGTGATGCTGTAGTTTGGATAAAAGCCCCACTAGCAAAAAAAAAAAAAAAAAAAAAAAGAAGAAAGCAACTTTATATCTCCACCAGAAGCCTGTCCCACCTCTCTTTTAAAAAGATTGGAATATGGAATAGGAAATCCAAGACAAAACCATAATAACACTTAGTAGTATTCTCAAGTGTAAGTTCAAGAAGATGCAACTGTTGCCATATACTTCCAGGCTACAGAAAACCTCTACCAGCCACAAGTACTTAACTGCTATTAAAAATACTGACTACAGAGTACATGAACTGGAAACAACTTCAGTTTTAAACGTCTCACAGATTCACAGAATCGCCCAGATTGGTTTCATGATAATGCGAGATTTTTCTGTTATCTCACTCTGGTTTAGTATTTTATTTTAAAACTATTTGCCACAGAAATGGACTCATTCACTACTTCATGAACAGCAAACACTAGCTATCTCCACCATCCCTCAGCTACCCACTGAGGTAGACTGAAGGATCTCTCGTGCATACTTCTCTGCAATACTCAATATTCAACAAAGATATAGGCTTAAATCAGTACTAAGTAGAGGTTATGGTACACCTTACAAGTTTCAGACATGCCTGCAAAGAGGAAAAACAACTTTGGAAGTATGGGAACAGTCTTATTAGAAAGATGGTATCTTCCTCCCTCCTGTCTCCCACCCCCCACAAAAAAAAAGGGGGGGGGGGGGGCAAAAAGAAAAAATAAAAAAAAAAAAAATGTAGCAGAGTAACTGATGATAAATTTGCTCTAACAAACACTGGAAGCACAGGAACCCACCCCTCCCATATATAGCTTCTTGACAGAGCAATGAGGAAAGGTGGTGAGACTCTAGGAAAAGTCATTCCTCAGGGACATAACCAAACATGCTTAAAAGATGAAGAAGAGAGAAAAGCCAGTTGCAAGTCGATTAGAAAGCATCTGCTTTAACTAAATAGCTAACTGTTCTCAGTCTCACTAAATACGCTGTTTCAGAACACTCCTCTCTCCCCAGGAAAACGTTGCAGGAAGAGAGGGAGCCGACGACTTGATTCTTTTGCAGAACAACACCCACTATTCAGAGCACCCTGCAGTTCCTCCCTTTGACAAGAGCTGTCAGATCTGGCAAAGCCAGAATGAAAGATGGATCCAGTTCCTGTGAGAAAAGAATCTTTCATGAGTGTGAGGGACCGCACTATGAACTGTTCTTGAAGATTGCTTGCAAGGACAGTCACAAGATCACAGGGTCCCAGAAACTCCCACTTGTGAAAACATTCCACCTGGGCATGCCCTGGCCCCAAGCATGCAGCAGTTGCTGGGAGGCAGAGAGCTGAAAATGTGCCACTGTCACAGAAGCCACGGCCCTCAAGGCGGTATTTAAGAAGGACCTGTTCTGGGAGAGATATGACCGCCTGACCACACTGCACCGCACCTCCGCTGGAGCGTGTGTGTGACTGCCCGCCACCAAGCAACTGAGACCCCCCCTGGCCCAACTCACCGCTGCCTCACCACAGGATCCATGGTGGTGACTATTCTTGCAGCCCTATCCCAACTGCTGGCTTGATTTCCATCTTTCATTCCACCCTATCCTATCACTATTCTCTTTATTACTTTTTCTTTTTGTAATAAAAGGTGTTCTGGGTGCACAGCATTTAACCTTGTTTGTGTCTTAATCTCACTCTTGGGATCGTATCAAATCCTTTCCAAACATCAGATCAGGACAATTAGAAACTGAAAAGTAAGTCTCTTCTCAACTTAGGGATGCCCCCAGGCTAAAGGGAAAACAGACATGGAAATAAATTACAGGCACCTGCCAGCATTATGATACCTGCCCAATATTACTGAAATAATACTCAAATAATTGTTATTCAGAGTTTTCATGCTCCTACCGGTTTCCTCTACTCCTAGCATACAAAAATCAGAGATCCTTTGACCTCAATGCTAACAAACAAGATTTGCTCAGCCCACATATTCTGCATGAAACAGTACTACAAATCTAACATTTTAATACAATAGGTATGTATATTTAATATTAATTATATTTACATACTTTAATTATCCTACTACATTAACAATACTACAGATACAATATTTGGTAAAAATTAGCATGGTAAAGTCTTCAAATTTTGGTATGGTTCTCTAGCAAGCGTAAAACAGAACAGAAAACAAAGTTTCTGTGTGAAGAATAAAGTGTATTTTAAAAGAAGCAGCCAAGACCAGCTGCAAAACACAGATCACATACGCTGACATTTACACAAAACCTTGCAGTAATAAAAGTT